CACAATGGGGATGCGGCTTTGTTTCGTCTGTTTCACCTCCCTGTCTATTTCTTCAAATTCGACACATGGAAAGTAGGATGTACGTTGTTGAGTTCTTGTGGCAACCGAAGTCTATAGGCCACTGGGCCGATCCTAGTGAGGACCTCGAATGGTCCAATGTACCTCAGATTCAACTTTCCATGCTTCCCAAAGCGTATGATCCCTTTCCAGGGCAAGACCTTTCACATCACGCGGTCGCCGACTTAGAATTCCAAGGGTTTTCGTCGTTTATCTGCATAGCTCTTTTGTCGGTCCCTTGATGCCTTTATCCGTTCCCGAATTTGGACGATCTTCTCGGTGGTCTCTGTGATGATCTCGGGGCCGATAAGGGTGCTATCGGACACTCGTCTTTTTTCCAGTTGCGTGTCGCCAACCTCGGCCCAGCATAGAGGGGATCTGCACTTGCATCCGTAGAGGGCTTCAAATGGTGCAACTTTGATGCTAGTGTGATAGTTGTTATTGTAGGAGAACTCGACGAGTGGCAAGTGGGTATCCCATGCCTTGCCAAAGTCTATCACACAATCTCTTAGCATGTATTCTAGTATCTGTATGGTTCTTTCGCTCTGACCGTCTGTTTGAGGATGGTAAGCTGTACTCATATCGAGCTTGGTTCCCAAGGACTTTTGTAGTGACTGCCAAAACCGCGAGGTAAATCTACTATCTCTGTCGGAGATAATAGATATTGGCACGCCATGTAATCGTACGATTTCCTTTATGTATGTCCTGGTCAGCTTCTCCATCTTGTCAGTTTCCTTGATTGGCAGGAAGTGGGCGGATTTGGTTAACCTGTCAACGATCACCCAGATGGTGTCGTGTCCACCCGCGTCTTAGGCAACGTGGTTATGAAATCCATGGTTATCCTCTCCCACTTCCACTCTGGTATGTCTGGTTGTTGTAGTAGACCCGAGGGCTTCTGGTACTCTACTTTGACTTTGGCGCAAGTCAGGCACTTGCCCACGTAGGTAGCGATTTCGGCTTTCATGTTCGGCCACAAATACAGTTTCTTTAGATCCAGGTACATCTTGTCCGAACCTGGAAGGATGGAGTACCTTGTCTTGCGGGCTTCATTCAGGAAAACGTCTCTATAACCACCAAACTTCGGTGTCCAGATTCGATCCATGAGGTAGTAGGCTCCATCGTCTTTGACTGTAAGGTTCTTATCCATCCCTCGCAAGGCTTCGTTTATGACGTTCTCGGGTTTCAAGGCTTCCAGTTGAGCCTCTCTGATCTGCGAAGATAGGTGGGAATGGATAGTCATGGTTAGTGTCTTCACTCGGCGACCCAAGTATTCCTTTCGGCTCAGGGCATCTGCTACTACGTTGTCTTTTCCCGGATGGTATCGAATCTCAGATTCGTAATTGTTCAGTAGTTCTACCCATCGCCGTTGTCTCATGTTGAGCTCCTTCTGGTTTAGAATGTGCTGGAGGCTCTTGTGATCTGTGAAAATGGTGCACTTTGTGCTGTAAAGGTAGTGCCTCCAGATCTTTAGGGCGAACACTACCGCTCCCAATTCGAGTTCATGAGTGGTGTAACTCACCTCGTGGGTCTTTAGTTGTCTTTACGTGTAGGCTATGACCTTCCCTCGTTGCATGAGTACGCAACCTAATCCTTGATTGGATGCGTCACAATAGACTACGAAGTCTTCCGGCCCTTCTGGGAGAGACAAGACCAGGGCGCTGCATAGATCTTGTTTCAAGGTTTGGAAAGCATCCTCTTGTTTCCCCTCCCAGATGAAGGTTACACCCTTCTGAGTTAGAGCGGTGAGTGGTTTGGCGATCTTGGAGAAAATTTGTATGAACCTCCTAGAGTAACCAGCAAGGCCTAATAATTGTCTGATCTCTGTCGGGGTTCTTGGGGTTGCCCAGGCTTCGATTGCCTTTATTTTGGCAGGGTCCACGTGTATCCCTTCTTCGATGACCACATGAACTAAGAATTCCACTCTACGGATCCAGAATTCGCATTTGGAGAGCTTCACATACAGCTTCTCTGCCCTTAATGTTTCCAAAACTTGTCGCAGGTGTCGATTGTGTTTTTCCTTACTCCGAGAATAGACGAATATATCGTCGATGAATACAATCACGAACTTGTCTAAGTAGGGTCGACACACCCGGTTCATTATGTCCATGAATGTCGCAGGCGCATTTGTTAGACCGAAGGGCATTATTACGAATTCATACTGACCGTAGCGAGTTCGGAAGGCGGTCTTGGGGACATCTTCCTCTCGGACCCACAACTGGTGGTACCCGGATCTTAGATCTATCTTCGAGAAGTAACTCGATCCCTGTAGTTGGTCGAATAGATCGTCAATTCGAGGAAGAGGGTATCAGTTTTTGACGGTGAGTTTGTTTAGCTCTCGATAATCGATGCACATGCGGAACGATCCATCCTTCTTCTTTACGAATAAGTCCGGAGCTCCCCAGGGCGAGAAGCTCGACCTTATGAACCCCTTGTCCAATAATTCGCTCATTTGACTGGAAAGTTATTGCATCTCCGCAGGAGCTAGCCTGTATGGCGAGTTGGCGATTGGTGTGGCTCCGGGTATCAAGTCGATTCTGAATTTGACTTGTCGTTCAGGGGGTACTCCCAGGAGGTATTCGGGAAATACATCGGGGAAGTTGCAGACTTCTGGGATGTCGTTGATGTTCTTTTCTTCCTTCTTCTTATCGACAATGTGAGCTAAAAATGCGTGGTTCTTCTTGTGTAGACAATTCTGGATGCACTTATACACAAGGGGTTACATATATATACATTATGGATGCACTTATACACAAGACCCCTTAGACTTGGTTTGGCCCAAAATTTTCTAGTTGTCACATGTGGGGGAGATGGGGGGTTTCTGTTATGCAGAGAGAGAGAGAGAGAGAGAGAGAGAGAGAGAGATAGATAGATAGAGAGATAGGGTGGGTGGGTGGGCGACAGATGATGGTGGTTGGAGATGGATGGTGGTGGTTGGCGGCGGATGATGGCGGTGTATGGTCGTAGCAGTCGGTGGTGATGGTGACAAACGATGGTGGAAGTCGATAGTGATGGTGGATTAGTGGCAACTAGGTGTGGTATGTTCTTGAGTATATGTATATGTGTTTTATTGAGTATGTATGTTCATAAGTAAGTGTGTGTGTGTGTGTGTGTGTTATGGAGAACAAAACCAGATAGAGATAGAGTAAGGGGTGGGTGGGTGGGTTGTTTTTTTTTATTGATTAAAAATATTACCATAAATATAAAAAAACAAATCTAAGGGGTATAATAGTCGTTTTAAGTTGATAGAGACCAAAACCAATAAAAAATCCAATTTTGGACCTTTAGTGCACCACTAAAACTTTTTGGATCAAAGCCACTGAATTTTGTCAACCACAAGACCATTTTTGTAATTTTTTCTAAAAAATAATAATATGGAGTGGTCTTTAAGTAATGTGTATACATAGTAGTTAGTGGTTAGATGTGACGATGAAACGCCACCACCATATTAATGGTTGGTAATGAATACTCCTCATAGCCTAATATATGGTTACTGTCTAATCTAATATCATGTTATAAAATGCATACAATCAATCACTCTATTGAAAAAAAAATATGAATACCAAAGGCTTTCTCCCAAGATAAATAGTCTAAACGTCCGTTTGAGACCTCTCGTTCCGACTATGGGGGCTGTTAGCGTACTCATGTATTGCATTTTATATTGTTTATTATGTAGCCCATTATACCTCATAGCCTAATTGTATGTATGCGGCCCAATTGTATGTATTATACGTATTTATGTGAATGGAAAGACATCATGCCAAGTTATGGGAAAATATTGAGCATAACAAATGAATCGAACTGACCGAGACGTTGAGAGAATGTTCGGCAAACAAAATTTGTGATTTTTTTTAACTTTTCATCTTATACTTTCTTTGTCTATCTATAAAGAACGGAATCAATAACTAATCAAGCCAAAATCTCTAATTATTTCTCGATTAATAGTTAAAATTTTGCAAATAGCTAAAAATAGTCATGCAAAACGTAGTTTTTAATGGCTAAAACAAAAAGTTCTTAGGCAAAAAGGCTGGATTAATAATTTTCTATAGAATGCAATACTAATTATTATTATTATTATTATTATTATTATTATTATTGTTAAAGTAATAACTTTTACGTTTACGTAAATACATATACCAAGATTTTTATATAATAAAGTAATAAATAGTTCTAACATATTGTTTAAAAAATATTACTTTTCAAAAGAAATTGTATCATTTCCCATAAAGAAAACATGTAGTATTGGTCAAATTAACACAAAATGTCTCCCTTACACTGCATGACACAAAACGTCTCCATTTTCCACTACAAAATCTACGAATTTCAACAAAATATCAAAACAATTGTTAAACTTTTGAATATTTTTTGGTTTATTAATTCAACTATTATATCATTTCCTAAGCCGTGGAATTAAAGTGCCATATCATCAAATCCCACCATATTAGTTTAACCAATTTCATTTTGTCCTATTAGAGATCTTATTAAACATCATCCTCAAAAATCTATGGATTAACATTTTAGGGTTGACCTAGTGGTCAATTTAACGGATTTGATGTCTCACTTAAACATCATGTCTTAGGTTCGATTCTTGTCACTTGTATTAAATAAAGAGATCTCTTAAATAAATTAATAAAGGGAATTGGAAAGTTTATAGGTTAATTAATACTCATAAAAATATTCGGTATAAGCATTAAAAATAATTTTATCTGTAATAATAAAAACGCACACTACACCAAGTCTACGAGAAGAAGCCAAAAAGGCAGACCTTTTTTAAATATTGGAGAGGCCTCCTCCATAATATTAGCTTCTTTTCTGCAGCAGGCGCCGCTTCTCTTTCTCTCTCTAAAATCTCTCCATCGCCATAGCCATAGCCATAGCCAGACCTTCGTTGTTCTTCATCTTCATCAAAACCCTACCAATTATCGACTTCTGTTCTTGAAGAAAAAATGGTGGGTTTCTTCAATTTAATTTCCAGTTTCTTGAATGAAAATTTCATCAAGTCTGATGTTTTTCAACTCATAATTTGCAGGAGGAATCATCATGTTCGACAAACTTACCTCCATGGCTCGAATCTCTTCTCTCTGAAAAATTCTACAATGCTTGCATAATTCACCAAGATGCAAAAAAGAACGAGAAAAACATATTCTGTCTTGATTGTTGCGAGGGTATTTGCCCTCACTGTCTCACTCCTCATGGCTCTCATCGTCTCCTACAGGTTTTTCAAATTACAATTCACGAATCGAAATAAATTCCTTCATTTCTTCTGAATTTAATGTTAATTATGTATGGTTGTGTACGTAGATAAGGAGGTATGTGTATCATGATGTTATTAGGGTTGGAGATGCTGAGAAATTAATGGATTGTTCTTATGTTCAGGTGAGAGTTTATGTACTTCAATTTAATTATAAATTTCGTCTTCTTGTTTGGTCACCTTTTTCATGTTCTTCAATTGATCAATTTTATTTCATTTTTTGTGTCTAATCTCTCTCTCTCTCTCTCTCTCTCTCTCTCTCTACAGTCTTATACAACAAACAGTGCGAAAGTTGTGTTTTTAAATCCAAGGCCTCAAACTAGAGCATGTAGAAACATAAACAATGGCTGCATCAGCTGTGACAGAGCTCTGCAAGACCCATATCTCTTCTGCTCTATCTTCTGCAAGGTTTCCTCTCTCTCTCTCTCTCTCTCTATATATATATATATATATATATATATATATATATATATATATATATATTAATTGTATGTTGGTATATTTGTAAACATGAACCTTAAATGCGTCACATTTTTGTAATTGAAATTAAAACGTGAAGCGGTTTGATATTTTAATGTTTCCTTAAATGGGCTTGGGTTATTTTCTCACAAATTTGAAAAATGTGTTGAAAATTCCAAACTTGTCGCATATATGTGTGTATATATATATATATACAGACACGTACGTATGTCTGTCTGCAATGCATATGTAAACCCTAATTTATTTTCGACAAAAGTTGTATTTCTTTTTGTTCGTATTCTTGCTTACTGATAGTGATCAATGTTCATGCTCTCTCTACTTATTTATACTGTATATATCTTATATATCAACCTTATAATTTGAAATTTATTGGCATTTAAATTTATCAGAAAATATCGAAATTCGAATGATATTTGTTTTATTGTTTTTGTTATATATAGATTAGTCATATCCTAAGAAGCGAGGGAATGATGTCTGAATACTTACACGACTGCGAGGTGCTCACGTTGCCGGAGCTAGGATTTGACGACGGTTTAATGACGCCTGATTCGGTTCTTGAACCGTTCATTTCACTGCGGACTTCATCTGGGTCAAGCGCGAGCTGCGGGGCTCCCGGCGGTGGATTCGACTGCCGGACAATTGCATCCACCGCCACCACTGAGATTGTGAGGAAAAAGAGAAGCTCCAAGTCTGCAATTCGTGCGGCGGCGTGTCTCCCAGTTAATTCACAGCCGTCGGAATTATTGGGGAACCGCCGAAAAGGTGTCCCACGCCGGTCGCCTTTCCATTGAATCATTCCGGTCAGAGTAGTAGAAATGATAGAGTGGAAGGGGGTGTAGGACTAGGATATGGACCTCCGATACAGCAACGGTCAAGATCTATTTGACTTTAATCCAACGGAGGGTATTTTAGTTCACTTGATGAAGCCTGCACTAAAGTAACCAGGACCAGGGGACTGGTAAATACTAATGGTGAGGGCATAATTGTTATTTCCAAAGCTTTCTAAAAATAGTTGTAAAATGATAGAACTTATAGATAAGTACTTCTAGTTTTGTATATTTCACATACAACCCCTCGGTTTTTTCATTCTCTATTCTTGTGATATGGGTTCGTACTTCGTAGTATCCAATGTAACGTATTTTTATGCCTAAACCTTTTGGCTTATTACAGTTTTACTCCCTCGTATTCAAGCAAAGATAATATATTACCTTTTTTTTTTTCTGAGTTCTACTAAACATTAGTTTATAAGCAGCATTTTAATAAAATGTTTATCAATAACTGTTACAAGATAAGAGATGAATTTGTTTTTTTTAAGCATTCATAATTGTGTTAAATATAGACGTTTCGAGTATCGATTTATTGGTGTTGTTTTTTTTTTCTTCTACTAAAGAACATGTTATTTAAATGTTATATTTTGTAAAATAAATTTAAAGTTTGTACAATTATTGATTGGTTGATCCCACAAAAGGCTACCTATATTCGAATAAACATACTAAGTTTAATTTTTATTATTTTAAAAAATATATATATATTAAATGATTAGTTGTGAGACATATTTATATATTATATATTTATATATTATATGAGTTTATTTAAAAAAAATAAAAATAATTATGAAGATCTAAAAATTTAGAAAGTTTGAATTTATATATATATATATATATATATATATATATATAAACTTAAACAAATAATTTAAATAAATAAACAATTAAAATAATTAGATTCGAATTAAAGATTTAGAAATTATAAGAAAAGTTACATTAGTGATATCGATATTCATTTTATTAGGTTTACTATATTTATTATATGGAATTTTAAGGCCCATTATCAAACCACAAAGTTCCCACCTCATCATCTTAGTCATATATTGTATTATAACACTAAGTATGGAAATGAGAAACACCAAATTACTTATTATAACATCTAATTTCCATGTCTTCATTTTTTTTGTGAATAATTATAAAAAACAAATAAATTAATAAAACATGATATTTTAATAAATCCTAAATTACCCAAATTATTATTATTATTATTTTAAAAATACAACAAAGGATAAAAACATTTAAAATTAAAAAAAAACATTAAAAGACAAAAAATATTACATTTTTTTCCTCTAAAGTATTCATCTTCGTTACCATCGTATATATAATCCACAAGTCTTCTTAAAGTTGCTTGTGTTTTCGTTGGTGTTGAATATTAACGACGCTATGTAAATATATTGTCGTCCCTGTTTGAAATTGCACATGTCTAGGTTCCGTAGGCGAATACTCCGTAATATTTTGTCATTTATCATCAATCACCATGTTATGCATTATGATATATGCATACATAATATATCGTAGAATTGCTAACTCATTACTCATATGGTTGTGCCAGATGTTGAACTACATACCATTTTGATTTTAGAATTCCATGTTGGGAAATTTAGGGTTTGTGGTGGAGATCTGGATACCAACTTGGATCGTGATATCACTTTCCGAACTGATATTTCTACCCTATGTCTGGGTTACAAGAAATTCGGCCTTGGATAATCCAAGTGGACACTTACGTTTCTAGGCACAGAAGACGTAAGCCAATATGCTAGAGGATTCTGTGAAGGTCTGATGAAAACGAGAGTTTAAGATCGTAACCCTCTTCTGTAGAGGAAGAGCTGTTTATATATTAAACACGATTAGAGTTTCATTAGGGTTGGGCCGTCATTAGTTGCTTTGGAAGCAAGTAATGTTAATCCGGATTTAATGAGGATTTAGGGTTACCAAAAACTAACGCGTTTCGTTAGTTTTACCATAATCACCCTCAAGAAATTGAATTTTCCATTATGTTCCCATATGTAAAATTCGGTGAGGGGCTCTGCCCCTTGGACCCCGCTAGGGTCGCTGCCCCTAGACCCCGCCAAAGGGGCGCTGGCCCTTTGGAAACCCCGGACCTGGGGGCGCTGCCCCCGGACCCCCGACTAGTCGTCGAACCGGCTTCTGATTCGATCTTATACATGCGTGCACTCCGCAAACACCCTCATACATATATTAGAGTACAAATCATAAAGCCCCTTTGTCACACCCCAAAATTCAAGACCAAAAATTTTGTTTTAATTAAGTAATTATATAAAACCATATCAGAGTGTAATCCCAAAGATCTCATGTGCGGAAAACATAGTGTGATGCGCTGCGATCAAGCCGACTCCCTTCCTTTGAAAACGAGTACCTGAAACCAAAACTGTAAACCGTAAGCACAAAGCTTAGTGAGTTCCCCCATCATACCACATACCATACAATCACATAGCCTACATACTGTCGGGTAATTCTGGGGTGCCCGACCTACCCGGTACGGCCATTCTGGGGTGCCGACCTACCCGTGTCAAGCCGTTCTGGGGTGCTGACCTACCCATCGGTCCTAATAACCGAACTTGGGGACCTACCCGTGTCAAGCCATTCTGGGGTGCTGACATATCCGTGTCAAGCCGTTCTGGGGTGCTGACCTACCCATCGGTCCTAACAACCGAACTTGGGGACTATTCTCCCCCTACTATCACTATCACATATAACATATCATGCTAGCACATAAACATTCCAGGTAGCAGCAAACCTAGATGAATATCACAAAGACAATCATCTAACATACAACTCCTACTAGTGGGTCAGCATTGTGGTCGTAGACCCACTGCTACTGGAAGATAACTCACCTCACACTACTGAAGTCCCGAAGACACAACCCCAGCTGCTGGATGGCAGAATCCCGATCTGTCAATATCAAAACATCACCCAATTAATAATTGGGTTCCACTACATAACCATAAGTACGTACTTGGGGTTATTACTACATTACCCCATGCTTGGCTTTATTCAAGCCCAAGGCCCAATCCATAGGCCCAAAAGTCAACTAGGAATCAAAGCCCAACACATGACCCAATTTTCCAAATTGGGACCAGGCCTATACATGGTCTTATTTTAAGGCCCAACATCATATAATCATTAAGGCCCAAATAATGGCCCATCTATTGTCTAATTTTCCAAATTGGGCCTAAACCCCTTAGATGGGCCTTACCCTAGGCCCATTAAATTATTCTAGTCCAATTGCTTGACTTTGGATGGTCCATTAGTAACCCAATCATCAAGGCCCAATAGAAAGGCCCAACTTAAGGCCCAAGTGAAATTAGGGTTTCTCATAAAATGATGATTAGGGTTAAAGGACTTAATCCACTAAGGACTTAATCCATTAAGTCCAATATTGCTTAGATTGATTGCAAATGATTCTTAATTAATATTCTAAGTTCATTAACTAATCCCGATACGATCCCGATAAATCCCAAATTAGGGTTTCATGGCATTAGGGTTTTCCAAACCCTAATTAGGGTTTCAAACCCAATTACTAGCCCATTTATCAATTTGTTGGGCTTTTAGGTCAATTAGGGCTTTATTGGGCCTATTAGGCCCACTAGAATATCATTAAGCCCATTAGGGTTTTATTTGGGTCAATTAGGGTCCATTAGGGCTTACAAGGCCCATTAGGGTTTCAAGCACCCCAAACGAATCAAACTCACAAGGCAAGCACACCGCCACCCGACACGGCGGCCGGTGGCGGCAGCCACCACCCTACGGTGGTGGTTTGAGATTTCTATTATTCCATTTTTTTGTTGTTACAATTTACAATGAAAATACCAAAGTAACACACACACACTAACTAACATAAACACACACACATGGCAGCACATGGTGGCAGCCACCACCTCACGGTGGTGGTGGTGGCTGTTCTTGGTTTTCCGGCTAGTCAAAACACACACAACACACACTAATAATGGAAAACACACCGACACACTTGTTTTGCCCGGAACAGGAGCACATCCACCCTTTTGGTGGTGGTTGGCGGCGGCATGTGGTGGCAGTGGCGGTTCTCGATGGCAGCCACCACTTCTCGGTGGTGGCAGTGGTCTCTTTGGCTTCCAACACGTAGCAACACAACACACATCCACGAATACACCCACAGCCACCTCCCATGGTGGATGGTGGCGGCGGAATAAGGCAGAAGCACTCGACGGCGACAGCAGCGATGAACAACGGCTCCGTGACGGCGGTAGCAGCGATCTAGGGCAGCAACAGTGACCGCTGTCTAGATTTTTCACTCTTGTTGTCGGGTTCACACAACCGACGGTCTACCATGGCATCACGGAGGCGGCGACTAGAGGCAACATAAAAAGAAGAAGTTGCAAAGGGACGGTGGCGGCTGGTGTTGACGTCGGAACCGCCGCAACAGCTTCGTGAAGGTGGTTTCTGTGGTTACCGGTCCCAATCGTGGTGGTGCATCGCCGGAAGTGAAGTAGGAAGTGGCGGTTAGCGACGGCAGCGGCTCAGCAGCACAGCGACGGCTTGGTGGTCGGAGGAACAAGGGTGGCCGATGGGGGCATAAGGGGTGACGGCTGGAAGGGTTTTTGTTAGGGTTAGGGTTAGTATGGGTTATATACCCGTGCCCTAGGAAGGTTAATGCCATAATGGCAGAAATAGTCCCTCCCTTCCAAAATTATTTTCAAACTAACCCAAATTTTACCATTTGAACCCCACCATCTAAAATCCATTACAAATTAGGTCTGAGTGATCAAGTTTCAGCGATGTTGACATTATTAGTCCCTCCTCCTCACATTCTTTCCAACTCAAGTTCCAATAAGTACCACGGAGCCCCTGTCTTCCTAATATTTATAAAATAAGTCCCGAACTCACACTTTAACCCCCGACTTCTAAAAATGTGGCAATTAACTCCTCGAACCCAACACCCTGCATATATAATTATTTATTTTAGG